CCCGCCGCATCCGTGCCCATAAGATGTACATGCCACGGATATTAAAAAAAAAATCCGTTCCGTGGGAAACTTTCGTTTGCCATAAGAGTCAGCCTGACATACATGTATCGGGGCCCCGTGTTTCAGTTTTGGTTTCACCGCGCACTGCTGCCGTAGCACGTCTACTGCACTGCCTCCCCGCCGCCGTTCCCTCCCTTCTTGCTGTCCAGTATCCGCCACGCCCTAGTCATCGGCTGCATTTCCTTGCTTGCAGACGAAGAAATCTCCAGCGCAGAGAGCATTCGGGCAACTCGCCTTGAGGACAGGACCGATTCGCTCTGAGCGTCGCCATCATCACCATATCACAGCAGCGGTACTGCGGCCGGGAACCGTAGAACAGCACCGAAGCAGTAGCGCACCAGAGGCAAACACGACGCACACGGAGCAAAACACCCACCCACCACCATGGGCGCAGAGTTCAGCAGCGCCGTCAAAGACGCGCAGGAGGTGCCGCCCTTCCGACGCGAGGGCCCGCGCTACGACATGTCAACCTTCGTGGGCCGGATGCTGCACTTCTACAGCGTCAACGACCCGCGCACGCTGCTCTTCACGAACGAGGACGCGAAGTCGGCGGAGAGACTGCTCAAGCTGGCCAACATCGGTGAAGCTCCCGAGGGCACCACGGACGCCGAACTGTGGCATGCCCGGCGCGTGCTCGAGTCCGCCCTCCATCCGGACACCGGGGAGCCGATATTTCCTCTCTTCCGATTCTCGGCGTTCGTGCCCGTGAACATGGTGATCGTCACGGCAACCGTCACGCCGGCCGTTATCTCGAGCTTCCCGGCGACGGCCTTCATCCACTTCTTAAACCAGACGTACAACGCGGCCATCAACTACGCCAACCGGAACGCGTCCAACCCGGTGCCCAGGGCGCGGCTCGTGGAAGGCTACGCGGGAGCGGTGATCACGTCCCTGTCGATAGGCATGCTCTCGACCGCGCTCACGAAGAAGGTGGCTGCGCGTGCTGGCGGGGCGGGCGGGCCGGCGGCGGCGATCATTCGGTCCACGTTGCCGTTCCTGGCGGTGGCCGGCGCGGGAGCGAGCAACGTGCTGCTGATGAGACGGAACGAGCTTACGACGGGGGTGGACGTGTTCGACGACGAGGGCAAGGATTTGGGAAAGAGCGTCGAGGTAGGTGTTGTTGGTGTGGCTTTTGCTTGGTTTTTCCCAACAGAGCTGTTTTGAAGTGTTGGTTGTGATCACAACTTGCCCGGTTTTAGAGTGACCTGAGAGCACACAACCGTGCACAGCGTTGTATGCTTTGCAAGCCTATAACCGGATGAAATGTGGCCGTGGTTCGCCTGTATAACAAGCTTCCCGGTTGGTCTGACCGACCTCCCACGCTGGCTACAACGCATGGTTGCGATTGGGATTCTTTTTCGACAACGGCAGATGTGTCGGTGATTAGTCTGGGTCACAGGCTACATTCACGGCAGTAGATATACCAAGCGTGACGGCTATTGCACACTTGCTTAGGGGTGCATTTCCCTCCGCGTTTTGGTGTGGGTGATGAATGCTTCCCGTTAACGTTGAGTCTTCGCTATGGACGGAACCCGTTCTCCTCTGGTTCGGTTTCATTTCGTGGTGTACCACGCGGGACTCCTGCTGTATCCTTGTCACATGCGACGCTCCTGATCACACCCAACGCATCTATGCGTACCAAACATTTTCTCCACCTTCTTACATTTGCGAGCACGGAAGGCGGGATTTTTTCGTCGAAGTTCCATTTGCTGTTTGAAGCGACCCTTGGAAGAAAATTCTTTGGATAGATTGCACTGTTGTACAAGTATGCTAAGCTCGTTTGCCACATTAATGTTCACCGTCCGATGTTCCACTTGGGTTTTCGGGTGCATCAACGAGTTTGAAACCACAGATGTATGCACATCGTTATTCAGTGACGCCGAGGAACGCCAAGTCTGTTCGCGTTGAACTCTCGTTGTGTTTCCTGAAAAGCTGTTGTAGTCGCTTGTGCCAATCGTTTTGTGCAAAAGCAGGTAGTGCCGGCACGACAGAACGCCTTGCTCCTGTCGTACTTCGGTCTGTCGGAAAGAGAATTCATGGGTGACCAGTACCAGTGTCAAGACCTCACGACAACAGTAGTGTTTTTTCTGCTTCCTGAAGCTCAGCTCCCTTCTGAGATATCCCTGTGCCGTAGCCTGAGATTGGGGAGGAGTGCGACGTGTGCATGCACGGGAATGCAGTCGCTTTCACAGTACCACCGTATTGTTGGCGTTCCCCTTGATGCGCCCGAGTATGGCAACTAGGAACGCTTTTCCTCGCACACGGGTCTAAAGATTTCAAGACACATCCTCATGTTAACTTTGATTTTTTCTCCCGACACCGTCTTGCTGCGCGGGGCTTGCCCTGGTACTGATGGGATCCAAGCCTAGACGCGCTGCAGCAGATGCCCATCGCCTAATATCTTAACCGCTGTAGCCTCGCCCACGTCATTTTGTGAGAAGGGTTCAAGAGATCTCTCTGGTTTTTGGCCTCGCCTCACTCTTTTGGTCCCACCCGCCGCCACCCACCCCCAACTGCTGTAGCGGTGCCTGGACCACGCTTTAGACGCGATTCTAACCCACTGGTTGTGTGTTATGCACAGGGCCGCCGCTCACTTGCAACGAAGGTAGTATTGGATGAATCAAACGCGGTAGGCATGCCGCTGTTGCTCGTTCAACAGCACCGTGTACGTGCAGGTGTTGGTCAACAGTCGACAAACCAAGCTTACATGATGGCGCATCAGCGAGGCTGAAGTTACCATCCATACACGCACGCCTTGTCCTGGACCCACACACACCCTATGTAAAAAAACGTATTTCCGTAACCGGAAACGTAGCTGAAGCCATGGTCTGAAATGGGTGATTTCGGTGACCAGGCAAAATCTTCTGGCACCGCGTGAAAAATATCGGTAGTATTACCACACCCTTGCTCTTGTGTACCTGGCTCAGAAATTTCGGGCTGGCAAGATGGATGATCAAGAACGCGGCAACCCATACAGAGAGGCTGGGGTATTCCCTGGGTGGTACGGCATCCCACCCCCCCACTGTATGGTTTGTTTCGCCTGGCAGGAGATCTGACCCCCCCCCCCCTCCAATCCACCCTGGCGGAACCCCTAAAACCCAGGCTGGCAAGATGGGGCTGATGAAGTGCGCGGCGGCCCGGGTGATCTGGAACGTTCCCGTCATGATGTTCCCGCCCATTATCATGTCGCGCCTGGAGCGCCTGCGGCTGGTGTCTTCGAGCCCGCGACTTCGCATGGCTTGCGAGACAGCGGTGGTGACCTCGTGCCTGTTGGCGGCCGTGTCGCCAGCGCTGGCATTCTTCCCGCAGCGGGATTCGCTCGCGGTAGATTCGCTAGAGCCCAAGTTTTCGGGACTTTCGGATTCCGCAGGGAAACCGGTGACCCGGGTATGGTACAATAAGGGTTTGTGATTTTTTGGTCGATTATCTAGCATGTTTCTCGGGGGAGAATATTTTTAGGAGGATTAATGTGGGTCAGAAGCCAGCCCTTCCTTACGGAGGGCTCTAGGCCACTGCTGTTTTGGAGTTTTCCGAGTTGTTTTTGCCTTGGGGGTGGGATGGATGGATAGTAGTGAATTGTTCAGCTTGTATTCTGTCGCAAGCATCGAGTTTGGTGAGTCATGCTCTCGGATGTTGGCCCCGAGGCGAGATAGATGAGAATTAGTTGTTCTAAATAGTTTGACTGTCGCAGGTACCAGACCGGTGCAACACGCGCTCGGATGTTGTGTCCACATCTAGTTCTGTGGAGAAACATAAACGAGCGTTGGATTTTTAGTTTGACCATTGGTTCTGAGTGTTGAACAAGTGTTCTTCGGCGTTTTTCGTGGTGTTTTCAGTGAGATTGACGAATCTGGTGACTCGTGGACTTTTTTTCGTGGGTTTTTCGCGTTTGTCGGCAAGTAGCATCGTGTGTGCCCAGCTGGGCAGCACAGCTGGAGCAGCATACTTCGGTTCTGTGTAGCATTTTTTTTGCAGTAGCTCCTTTCGTGGATTAGGACGCAAGAGATTCCTGCTCAAGGCCGACGTCCTTTTTGTGCTGTTTTTATGGGTCTGTAACGGTGACTGCGCGACGGGCATGTTAAGTTTCGTGGCTGGACGTACAAAACAAGGCGAGAGCCTCGGTTTGTACGTGACGCTCCCGCTGTTTTTTTTTCGTCTTGGTTTGAGCGGTGGGTATTTTCTGCGGTTTCGCAGGCAGGTGCACATCTCTTGAGAGTGCGACTCTTTCCCCTTCATGTGCGAGAAACTCTGAGGTGTAGTTTTGGATGTTTCTGTGGAACATTGTGTGCGTTGACGAGACCGTCGATAGGACTACTACCACCGCTGCTTGCCGCCATTGGCAGCAGTGAGTACATAGGAAGGAAGGAAGGCATCGCATCGCATCGAGCTGTGAAGCCCACCTCCTTTTGGGAGTGGAACACTTGATCAAAATTTTCAAAAAATTGTGATGAATTACTGTGAGGGGCACACCCGCCTGTTTTGACGCCTCCCATATGCGATAGGTATACAGTTGGCGCCCGCAGTTAAGAAACGCTTATTTCAGGTCCAGCCTCGAATTCTTATTGTGGGCTATATACTCAGCGTATGTCGTTCAGTTTCATATTCCAAGTTTCTTATTTGCTCGTGCAGCCAAATCCTGCTGAATTTCTTAAATCGGCAATTTCTTATTTCTCTGCTTCCATACTACACAACGTTCCAAATATACAAATGATTTGCACTGCTTTCCTCGACCCCCGTACTCAACCCCGATTCTCACTACCGACGGCTGCACGTAAGGCCACTCCCTAGAAGCGAAATGTTTCCAGCGGCAACGTCTCGCTATCGCTACAAGGTCCTGTACCCCCCTCATGAGTGAGGGCTGAAACTAAACAAATGCATAAACACCGCACGCTGACGTGCCAACAAGGAAAACTACCCCGTCATTATGTTGCAAGCTCCGTGAGCCGGACATTGGGGGTAGTCACCCTTTTGCGCCTCCTGCTCCCTTCCTTTGGGTCTGTCTACCTCTAGGATAACCCACGCCCCAATTGCGACGTCTTCATCCGTGCTGTACGACTCCAACGGCATCTTCATGCTAAATTTACGCGTGCTTTCGTCACAGTGCAGGATGGCGCGGTAGTCGTGCTCCTGCCACGAAGCGGGGTGAGAACTGCGACCAACTACCCCTCCGAACCAACCCAACCCGAGTTTCACGAGAAGCCCACGCTTCACTATGGGAGGGGGGGGTCGGGGGAGAGGAGGAAAGAGCGAGAGAGCTGTGGGGTTTGTTTCTTATTCGACATACTCCCCGTAAACCCTCGTTTCTCATGTAGTAGCGCAGCGGTCGCCGCTGTGTTTCTTATTATTGAGACATTTCTCATTGTATGACCCAGGTTGAGCTATGTTTCTTTACCCTATTTTCTTATTTTTCGTGAAAATGTGAGCCTCAATTTCTTAACAAAATAGAGTAAGGACGGGTATTAAGGACCCCCTAAGGCACCCCCCACTTAGGCAGCTTGTTCTCTGGTTTCAAGATGATTCATGAAGAGATCAAGGTATCATACGATAGCCTATAACATAGACTACATGACAAAGAAAGAAAAATTGAAAAAAGTGAAGGTGGCGAGTATATATAGACCTTGAAGTATACCTCACGTTCTAGGTAAAATTTGGGTGAAAGGAGGGGGGGGGATATTAAGGACCACTTTCCGGTAGTGGCCGGATACGCCCGTTCTCAAGCGTTCCACGACCTGAAATTTGGTACACAGGCTCTTAGTATGACGTATGTTCGATACAAAACAAAAAAAAACGGTGCACACCCGGGGACAAAATGCCCATATCCCCGGTTTTTCGGCCCAGTTTTGAGGAACGGAATATACCCCTTTTGGGTGGTACTGCGTGTTCTCTTGCCTTGAAACCATGCAAACGTAGTAATTTGATGAACTAATGACTTGTATGCCTCCTACTCGGACTCACAAAAAAAAAATTGCGGCAATCGAATACCTATGGACGACACTATGCCTGTCCAGACATGGGGTACTTTCCCCCCTTTTTCGGCTTGTACGGCAGAAAATTCCGAAAAAATCTGCTACAGTTAAATGAACAATTTACACCCACAACTCAACCCCCACGAGACGCCGGTTGAGAGAAACGAAGTAAACGTTGCAGAAAACGCGTTGGACAAGAAGAAAAAAAAAGCACATAGACCAGGGGACAAAAGTGCAGCATCCCCGGGTTTCTCGACAAACTGCCCGCCGGCCCGTCCCGACCCCCCCGGCGGTGCTGTTCGACCCCAAATTGCCTCAAGCAACCTCGTGAACAATATTTAACACGCTACGGTTTGAAATCGGTTCCACACGCAAACTTCAAGCCGTTCGGAGCTAATTTCACCCGGATACCAGCTGTTCTGCATCACGAAACAACCCCCCCTCGAAGACACCTAAACATCCACCACAGGTGTCCGCGTCAGGGTTCGTCCCGACCGGGAAACGGGCGCCG